CCACGCTTGGCCATTCCTTGCCACATTGCAATAAGAGCGAAATTACCTCCGTTGGTGAGCGGTTATTCGCCACTTCAGGGACCTTTACTCATGACAGGGCAAGGGTATTCTCAACCATAAGTGTTTTTTTTTCTCGAAAGTTTTGAACGTTCCCATATCTAAACCCAACTCTTCTCATGACCGCGCTCACCTTCTTGTACGGACCCAGGCCTCTTGCTTGGACTTTTTCGAGATAGCCGCGCTAGAAGCGGGTGTAGTACCATCTGCAGAGTCAGTCACCGGTGCGCGCTCTTGGGGACGCTCGAGGCAGCAGCGCCAGCAGCAACGGTTGTAGTTCAAGCAGCAAGTCTCAGTCATGGGTGCCGCATCAGTAGAAGAACCGGTGGCAGGTACGGCGCCAGCGGCAGGGCCTGCCACGAACCATGCGCCAGAGATAGGGAGGCGGAGTTCGTCCTCCACCCTCGAGTTCCTTCGTCTTCATCTTCAGCCCCTTGTCCACTCGGATGAACTAAACGTCACGGTCTTCATCGGTCGTGCTGCTGGCATCGGAGGGGGTGTTCGATCCCCCGCTGAGCCGGCGAGGTCTCTCGTCCAGCATTCTCCTGATGTCCCTGTTGGAAGACACTTCTCCCTCCTTGGACATTTTTGTCATGCTAACCGGTCGGAACGTCTCGCGTTGTAGCTATCGGTGATGAGTGTGGTGTAAAACTAGGAAGTGTGGCATCTTTAGCTCCCAAATTTTCAAGCAAACAAAACTGAAACGACCACATGCTCACAAATCGCAAAGTTGAATGACTGTGGTACCATTCAATAAAGATGGCTCACCGTTTTCGTGGTCCAATGATCGTTAGCTAGCTCATAGAGGCACATGGCGTCCAGAGTGAATCTAAGCTCGATGACGTGCGCGATGGCCAGCATGTCCTGGGCGGTCCGATGGGCGTTGGCGTCAACATTATGCAGCCCGAAAAACGCCAGCCTGGTTTCTTCGCGTGTTGTGTCGAATAGTACACCTTGGCTGAGAACTTTCCCATCTATTCTAGCTCTCTCCGTTGGCTTTCTTGAGGAAAGGCCGCCCAACCAGTACCGTCACCGCCAACCACCGCACAACTTGTGCGCCCTCTATGCCGTGTTCCATGCAAACTGCCGACAAAGATTCTACGGCGGACTCCGGCTGCTTTCCCATTGTCGGGAGCTGGATCATCATTCTTCCGACGCTCGGTCTTAAGCAGGTGGTCTCGCCAACCAGTCCGAAGAATTCCTCGGGGTGCAGGGTGTCTCCGTTGTGCCAGTGCGTAGCCAAGCTGAAGACGCCGAAATCTTTGGAATCGACGTCATCCTCTTCCAGCGCCTCCAACAGCGTCAGCACCCTCTATTCGCACCCTCTGTGACTTCCTCGGGCGTTTTGCCGAGCAGGTGCTCTTCTCCACCGATGCCATCCAATTCGAAAAGCGTGGAAGCGATCTTCGCTTCCGTGAGACGGTCTAGGTTTCATTCGACGAAACCGGGGTCGACTTTGTCAATGACTTCCATCACGCTCTGGCACCCGTTGGCGGACATGGCCCCCATAGACATGTCCATGTGTCCTCCCTCTCCTCTCGTGTGTCCTCCACCAATGGGACCCTCTGCTTAAGGAGTTTCATCCCGTCTCTGACGCCGCCGGTGGTAAAATTTAGATGCGACGTGTGTTCCCAGATTCCTCGCGTTCTGGAAGAATGAATGGCAGTGATTCAGGGTCCTTCGCACTGCACTGTGGCCGCTGTCGGCACCGAGTTCGTGCTTGAGAAGACGGGCGTCAAACCTTGCGTGGCTGAAGAATGTCGTGTCCAACAAGTGCAGACCTACCCGCCCATACTTGGCCGCGTCCCTGATTCCACATCCAACGATAATCACCGGTGGCATGTTATGAACAAACGTTTTGCATGGCGCCAGAGCGAAACGCAGCGCCTACGGCATGTCTCCTGCGGGCTCGCTGTCGATGTCACGAACGCTCAGATTTTTCAGGCTGTGTGTGATGTTGGGGGACCACTGGCTAGGATATTTTTGCAAGAGCTTGCATCCTTGCAGTGTACATGGTTAATATGCTTCGAGGAGGTTACCCGGCGGCCCAATCGGTAAGCACACATGTCAACAACTTGCTGACGACGTTAAAATTTTCTTCCCAGGAACCATGCATACGCTCCGCCGACGGTGCTAAGGTATGCCCCTCTCTCACAGTATCTCCCGTGAACAAGCACCCCTATACTTCTAGATCGTCGTGGGCGACACATCCTAACCCGCCTAGAAAATGCAGCTGGCTCAGCGACCCAGGTTCTGCGGCGAAGTCCTTTATGGACTCGTCGTGTCGGTCTGACTAGAAGTTTGCTCCGAGGGTGGATTGAATGAGGATTTTGGTGAAGACAGCCAGCGACACGTCCCGCAGAGTATCCACGCGCACTTTGATCGACATCAGCTCGCTGGTCTTCATGTTGCTCTCCGGATCTGTGCCGCCACCACTCCTGTTGGCTCTGTCTATGGTATCATTCGGGTTCTAAAGCGTCCCAGTCAACACGCCGCTGAGAACCGATACAATGAACCAATCATGACCATAACTTTGTCACTAGATGGAGGATGAACCGCCGGAGGTTCGTGTCCAGTGACAGCCCTTCGTCGCACCGGGTCTCCACTCCAGGGGGTTCCTGCGCCTGACCAAGTCTTCGGCGGCCTCCTTCACCAGGAATTCTTTCCCGCGTTCCTTCATTGACAAGGAGGGCGAAGCGTCCTAGTCCTTCACGGTTGTCCACCGCGATGTAGACCACCCGGTCCACCACCCTATAGACCAAATCCTCCGTATCGCGCGCCACGTAGACAGTCTCGTTGACGGCGCGCTTGTACTGTGTGCCAGTCATTGGTGAACGGGGTTAGTTTGAACCCCCTCCTCATCTTCTCCTCCTCGTCGTCGTCGTCCTCCTCCTCCTCCTCCTCCTCCTCCTCCTCCTCCT